GGCTGCAAGTGGCCCTGCGGAGCACCCAGCTGCTCGGGGGCATTGCGGAGCATTGCCGTGGGGGGCAGCTTCGCAAGCCTCCTTCGAGCATCCAGGGCTGCGCTTTTGGTTCCAAAAAGGACAGCTCAGTTTTGGAAGATGTGAGGACCTCTATGACCAAATTGTTCGAGAACGTCGAAGAGTTACTTGGGGAGGCTGCTGCCTTTACGCGTAAGGGGTCTAGGGCTTCCTGGAGACAGTGGATCTTGGAAGGCTCATTGGACCACCAAAAACCAGAAGCCTGGAGGCCCACTGCTACGCTGTGGGCTACCATGTACCTGGAAGCTCGCCCGCCACTCAGATTCGCCAGACAGGAGGTGCTCGAGGCCCTCCCTTTCCTGGACCCGCCCAAGCTGAGAGAGATCTGCCGCAACTATTCTCGCACGACGGCCGCCTCCGTCTGCGGCTTCAAAATGCGCCACGCTGCTCAGCTCAGCGATGAGGCCTTACTCTCTCAGGGAGACATGTGTCAGCCCTGGGAAAGATTGTCGGTGTTCCCGACCCAGCTGGCGGACTATTGGCTATGCTTTCCAAGGCCTCTGGGGGCTTTAGGCATATCAGCTTGTTTGCGCCATCCTACAAGCTTTTGGGGTGAGCACGACGCCGCAGCTGGAGATTGGGAGGCTGCTTGGATCAGGCCATGTTTCGCCTGTGGGCGTTTCGAATCTTCCTCGGACTTCTTTTGGAGGCAGGCCCTGAGGTCCGAGGAGAGCGTCGCGTCCTCTGCTGTTTCGGCCAGCATTCTCTGGGACATGTATGCATGATACGAACTGCTTGATTCTGAGCTCCTCCTGGACCGTTGCCACAGAGTGGAGAGTGGGTTTCTCGGCTCAGGTGTCCAGGATCTGCGATTGTGCCTACCAGTGTACCCGTTTCGTGATGATGAATGGCAGCGTGAATGGTCCTTGGCTTGCAAAGAAGGGTATCATAGCTGGTTGTTCTATCGCGGCAACCTTTGTCAGGTTATACCTAGCCCTGGACTTAGATCGCCTCAGCCTCCCAACATCCATCACGTTAAATGCCTTCTGCTCTCGACTGTGTGGGTCCTGCGGGCGTCTTGGTTCGCGATCTGACCGCTGCTTCCAAGGCCCTGCACAAGACCCTCACACTCGGTTGCAGTTGCTCGGTGTGGATCGATCGCGAGAGTGGGGTCACGTCTGAAAAGGCCTACGTGATGTCGCTCTGTTCGAGCGTGGCTAAGGAACCAAGAGAGGCTCTCGGAGGACATGCTGGGTCTACCACTACTAGGGTCGCCAACTTGGGAATAGAGGGCAATCGAGGGAAAGATGGGAGGTCCAAGGGAAGAGGATCTCGACACAATCTTCGGCTTGCCAGTTTCGACCGGCGTGCCCGTCGCGCGGTCAGCCTGAAGGCTGACCCTGGCGAGCGCTGCAAAAAAAAATCACTGCTGGTTCTCTGCCTGCCTGGCAGCCTGTACAGTCAACCCGCAGAGTAAGGATGCGCGATAACGATGCAAGGCCCTTGGACGCCCATTTCGAGGCTTTTCGAGCAGGGCGCGGCCAACGAGAGTGGTCAAGGATAGACCGAAGAGGCAAGGATGCGAGGGTACCCGTGGGAAGGTCGCCCATCCTTACTCTGCGGGTTGACTGTATGGTGCTGAAGGTCACGCTCGCAATGATGGAGGGAACTCCTGCACCTTCGCCGCTCCCTCGGCAAAACTATGCAGCCTGCGGCAAGGGGCATATCCCTTACGGTGCTGATGATTGCGGAAAATGATCCCTGTTGGCCAGCTGCTGTTGCACCGGCTCTTCGCTGGGGCTAGGAAGTGTAGATAACAGCTACCCGCATCACTAACCTCTCGCTCTCGTTCCAGGCGCTGAGACAAGCTTGGACTCCAACGTTTGGCAGGACGGACCTCTCGTGGAGGAGAGTAGGGGGGCCCGTGGCTTGAGCTTTCCAGAATCGATCGGGCCATCAAGGACCCACTCACGTTTACCAACGACCTCGGCGCTCTGTTGCGTCTCCTAGTTTACTCAAGAAGCTACTTGGAGAAGGGGTCCTGAGGTCTCTTGAGCGCTCTGCGAGCGGCGTCTTTGTGAATCGAGGTCGGTTGTGGTTCAAAGCGATGGCTTCCGCCGCTAGGTCTCCCAAGCTCTCGGCCCTCCAGAGGGCCAGCGTGAAGGCCGCTCTCTGTGGGGCCTCCTGGACCAGGGACCTTTCGTGGGACCTGGCGGAGGGAGCGGGGCAGCGCCCAGAGAGCGAAGGGGGGAGAAGAGAGAGGAAGAAGGGAGGGAGGGAGGGAAGGAGGGAAGGAGGGAGTGAGGGAGGGCGAGAGCGAGGGAGGGGGAGGAGGAGGGGGAGGAGGAGGAGGAGGAGGAGGAGGAGGAGGAGGAGGAGGAGGAGGAGGCTTTTCCCCTCGGTTACCAGTGCGACCCTTCGTGCGACCTGTGGGCGAGCCCGACTTGTTGCCTCATAGATTTTGGAAGTGTAGGTCTTGTGGTTCGGAGCGTGAGTCCCTCGTCAAGCCGTGGATTCTGGAGGCCTCTAGAGATCCCGAGGTGGACAAGCTCCTCTTTACCAGAGGTCTCTTCAGGCACCTTGGCAATCTCTCCGCACCCTCTTACCGACGACGGGGTGCTCATCGAGTGGCACAATCACCCTGCTATGACTGGTGGAGGCTTTCAAGGGCACGCTTTCCTAGACGGTTTTTGCTCGAGGAGCCCACACAGGGAGTTGTCTTGCGCAGGCTGGGGCCTCTCTGTACCAGATTTGACAGCACTCTACTTTGCGCTGTTGTTGCTCCAGCTTGGAGCAGTACCCCTCAGACCAGTCGTCAAGGGGGGAGCATGCTGCGTTGGGTGGTGCGGCCCTTTTGGCGGGAGGCTCCTGTCACCTGTATACTGACTGTCTCAACGTTCTAACACAGTTCAATGCTCCCTCCTTTGCGGAGAAGGTCAGCCGTAAGTCAGTCTATAGTGGCATCGTCCTGCAGGCTCTGTCTCAGAAAAGTCAACAAGCCCCCTCCTCCTCCTCCTCCTCCTCCTCCTCCTCCTCCTCCTCCTCCTCGTCCTCCTCCTCCTCCTCCTCCCTCCTCCTCCTCCTCCTCCTCCTCCTCCTCCTCCTCCTCCTCCTCCTCCTCCTCCTCCTCCTCCTCCTCCTCCTCCTCCCCCCCTCGCCGCCCTCGCCGTGCCGTGGTCGGCCGGGCGACAGTGATGAGAGGGAGAGGGGGGCGCAAGGGCGCGTCGCGAGCGCGATGATGGCTGGGGTCCGCTTCGGGGGTGGAGACCGTCAGGCTGGACGGGAGCAGGTCCCCGTGCGCCGGCAGGACGACCCAGCGCTTGTTGGCCCCTCCCGCTCGGCCGACCACGGCGCCGTGCAGGCCGTTGATTGGGTGGTGCTTCTGGCTGCAGACGGTCACCGCGGCGCCCACCTGGATGGCAACGGGCGGGGCGGGGGCAACCGGGCCTTGGAGGGCGATGTCGTCCCCGGGGCCCCAAACGTCGGCCGGAGCCACGGAGCTACGGCGCGCGGATCGCGAGGTCGCGGGAGGTGGCGGAGACCAGATGGCCAGCTGGAAGCGAATCGTGCGGATGCGGGCGATAGCAGCTGAGTGGGGGCCCAGGTACCGCGCTCACTGCATGTGCGGGTCGTGAGCGGCGGACGTGGCAGGCGGTCCAATTGCAGCTGGTGCTGTAGACTGTAGAGGGGGCGTGCGCGACAGGAGGCGATGTCGGGCGGTGGTGGCAACCTGGCCAGCTGCTCGGTGGTTGGTGGTGCTCGCGGGGGTCCACGAGCTGCTCTGGTGGGGGGGCGGGACAAGCGATCGAGAATCGACGTCAGCTTGACCCTCGTCGGCAGCGGTTATGGAGAGCCCTCTGCGGGGCAGCTCAGGATGGATGCTCGGGAGAGGGCGCGGGGTGCAGCATCAGGAGTCGGCGGGTAAGCAGCCGCGAAGCCTCCGGCGTCTTGCGAGAAGAGGACGCTGCGTACGGCCCGATAGTGAGAACCAGTCGTGGCGGCCATCGCGGTGGTCACGCGAGGGCGTGGCAGGCGCGTCTTCGGCCACTGGCGCAGCAGAAGTGGAGCAGCTGGGATGGAATGATCGCCTGGCCAGCCACTCGTCTGACGTCGGTCGTCGGTCGTCAGGCGTAGGTTGGCGGTCGTCGCTGCGGCTTGTGCCGCGGCGTGCACGGTCGCCGTTGGGCGGTCGACTGTCGTCGATCGGTCGTCGGTCGGCGGTCGTTGATCGTCAGACGTCGGACCGGCGGGCGGCTGGTGCTGCAGAGGGGGAGCGGCGGCTGCGGCTATGGTGGTCGTCAGACGTCGGGCGTTGGTCGTCGGGCGTTAGTCGTCAGTCGTCGCAGCGACGGTGCCGAAATGCGCGCGATCGTTGTCGGGCGGTCGACGGTCGTCGGTCGGTCAGTCGTTCGACGGCGGCCGTCTGGTGGTAGCGAACTGGTGGAATCTGCGCGCGCAGACCTGGCTCACGGCCGCAACGGCGGCGCCGATGAGCACGCAAAACTTTCTGGCGGCGCGGGCTGCGTCCGGCACGCGGTGGGCTGCGGAGAAAGCGACCTGCCCGAACGACCCTGGTGTCTATGGCGAGTCGGCGCGCAAGGCATGCAGCTCTACGCGGGTGCCACAGAGAGAGAGGGGGGGGGGAAAAAGGAAAGAAAGAAAGAATGAGAGAGAGAGAGAGCGACAGCCAAAGAGAGAGCGAGAGAGAGAGTGACGTAGAGAGAGAGGGAGAAAGAGAGAGAGAGAGGGAGAGGGAGATAGGGAGAGGGAGACCGGAAAAGCGAGAGGGAGAGTAAAGGGATAGAGGCGCGGAGAGAGGAGAAGCACGGGGAAGGGCGGAGGGGCGACAGGGGAAAGCAGGATAGGAATGGGGGCGCCTGAATAAAGCCCGTACCAGGACACTGAAAGGTCGCACCCCCGACTTACTTGCGCTCGTGCAGTGCTTACACCGCGAAGAGGGGCCGTGCTGGCTGCCGCGTGTCCTCGATGTCGCCGCTGTTGATCAGGGAGACCTGCGGCGAGGGGAAGATCTAACTGGTCACCGGTCGGAGAAGGAGCAGGAGCAGGAGCAGGGGCAGGAGGATGATCAAGGCAACTCGCCTGGGCATCGTTTCTGATGGGCTGGTGGCGTTACGCGAAGCATCAAGAACTGTTTACAAATAAGTCCGACTGTACTATGCATCATTGTAGCAGTAAGCCTTCATCGAACTCGAAGGGCATCAATATCAGTGCACCTGGGCACGATCCACAAATCACTGCTGACCCCCGTGCGAGGCCACTAGGCATCGAGAGTGAGCCGTTCCTGGTTCCCGCAAGCTGGCCACGATTAACGTCTGATGCAACCCATCAAGCAAGGTATCGGGCACCTGACGTTGACGATTATAGCAGCCTCGGCTCTGAGCGCGCGACCAGTCAGCGCATTAGAGTAACAACAAACCACAGAAACATAATTTATCGGAGGTCCGCGCGGACTTCTTGGATGGGCGCTGGACCCCCCTCCCTGGCGAGCAGAGCGCGCCAGGAGCGGCACCGGAGGCTGCGCCAGGGAAAACCCAACGCCGATCCAAGAAGGCCGCGCGGACCTCCGAGAACTTATGTTTAGAATGTTTGTTGCTCTTCGGGGCACGTGAGCGAACAGCCTGCCTTACCTGACCGTGCTCCCTCGGCCTCGGGCAACGTTCGATACTCGGACACATGTAACTTTACTTGAGTGCGCTGCGACGGACCACTGCCCAATTCTGTTCTCTACGCTCAATATGTTCCTGTTCCTGGTCCTGACATGGTTGAGCGCGAGGCCCAGAGATACCCACCGCCGACATCAGCCGAAGCAATGGCGAATGACCAACAAAAAGAACAACAAACTGCATAAACATGATTTCTCGGAGGTCCCCGCGGATTTCTTCGATAAACAACGGATTCACGAAAGACGATAAACGACGTGTCCCCGCCAGAGTAATTGAATGCGAGTTGCAGCGGGCTCGGGACAGTTGGACCTAGTTAACCGAGGAGCGGTGACGCTGCAGGCACATATCAACTGCAAGATCGCCAGTCACATCTGACCCAAGCGCAAGACACGCTCTGGATCCCCCACTTCAGTCAGTGGACATCATTGCTAGGCAAATCTTGACGAGCATGCCAACATGTCGAGACTGTTTGAGGGGGACAAACGCCAAGTTCTGATGCTCGTTGCATCCGTAGCCTGTTGGCTCAGTGGCACGCGCGTGCGCACGCGATGCGTCACATCAGATCTCTCGCACCAGGAGCGAGTGCCGAAACGCCCAGTGCGTTTTTGGGGTGTCTCCTTGCAGAACTGGCATCAAACGGGCAGATGGCATGACTGAGTCGAATTTCATTTTCTGAATCATCCATTGAGTGTAAGCTCCCACAGCTGACCCCCAAAAAAAACGATGCTCGTGTTGCCTTCAGCCATCAAAAATGCGGCGGTCACTGGCTGGAGGCGCCTTCGATAATCACGATTTCCCTCTCCATTCCACGATTCTGCCTGAGAGCAGCAGGGGCGGCGGCGACCTCCATGGCTGGAAGGAAGATGAAGGGTGCGGTTGACGCAGTGTAAGGGCGCAAACGGCCTTTCCTCTGCACTGCAGCTGCAACGGCACTGTGAATCAAACGGCTGCGTCGGGGCTCGATGAAGACTCGTAGTAAACGAGGTGTCTGGCCCGTGAGGAAAAAAAGCAAAGGGGCAGGAAGGGGCTACGACCTGTTGTTGACTTGATGGTCGTAATGCTGGCGATGATGGCGATGGTGTTGATGTTGATGATGCTGATAATGATGATGAAGTTGATGATGCTGTTGCTGCTCAGAATAATGATGATGATGATGATGATGATGATGATGATGATGGTGGTGGTGCTGATGATGATTATGATGTTTGTGATGAAGGTGATGATTGTGATGATGAAGATGCAGATGATGATAAAGATGATAATGACGATGCTGATGCTCATGATGATGATGCTGCTTTTGATGATGATGCTGACGAGGATACTGTTGATGGTGATGCCAGTGATGGTGGTGATGGTGGTGATCGTGGTGACAGTGATGGTGATGGTGGTGACGATGCTGGGACGATGAAGATGAGGATGATGATGGAAATGCGGATGAGGATGCTGATGCTGATGATGAGGGTGGTGATGATAATGATGGCCGTGGTGATGGTGGTGATGGTGGTGGTGATGATGGTGATGGTGATGGTGACGATGTTGGGACGATGAAGATGAAGATGAATAATAAAGTGCGGATGCGGATGCTGATGCTGATGATGGTAATCATGATAATAGTGGTCGTGGTGGTGGTGGTGATGGTGGCGGTGATGATGCTGATGACGGTGGTGGTGGTGGTGATGGTGATGATCATGATGTTGGTGACGATTATGGCGACGATGATGGTGATGGTGGTGGTGGTGATGATGACTAATACACGGGCATGGCCAGCTGCACCACAACATGGGAGCATCCACTGCCCCGCACGGCGCCAGACTAAAACAACAATACGCCGCGCACTTAGCTCAGCAAGGGGATGGCACTCGTTGCCTTGCGAGCCGCGCCGCTCCGAACTCATCTGATGCATGCAGTGCCTACTTGGGAGAGGGAACCACTCGCCTTGGCCAGCCCCTCGAGCACCTCTTCGGCGGCTGACCTGGATGCTGCAACACTTGCGTCGCTCACGTCGCACAAACTCGCAGATCCCTTGGGGTCTCCTCGGCGTGTGAGACTGATGTCGCTGGCAAGCGGACCAGCGGCCTCATCTGCTCCAAAAATGCCCCCGGACGGCCTCCATGGCCTCAACGATGCCCCCAGCCGCCCCAAGATGGCCTCAACGTCGCTGGCCCCAACGCGTCCCAAGATGGCCTCCAGACGCCCCAAGGTCCCCAAGAAGCCCCGAAAGTGCTCCAAGAGGACTCCCAACAGGGACCAAAATCAAGCCCGCCCCCTGAAGGAAACGTAGACACGTTCAGCATAGTTGCTTTTTCGGCCCACAGCCTTAACGCAGTCCCTCAGACGGCCAGCAATGCCTCCCTCCGAGAGCCCCACAGCGGCCCAAGAAGGCCGCAGAGGCGGCCATGACGGCCTCAGAGGGCACCAAAGAGCCCCAAGAGTGGGATCTCGAAGTGGCATTTCGATCCCTGTCCTCCAAGTATACCCCCGCAACCGCCAGCAGGCCAAGCAGACAGTCCCAACAGGGCCCCAAGAAGCCCCGAAGAGGCTCAAAAGATGCCATGACCCAATAGGGTTCGCTTTGGGCACGGCGTAGAGCTTCCCAGGTGGACGTACGGTGCACAACGCCCCCCAGAAGAGTGCTGTCGAGGGCCCCTGCGGAGTCGGCAGCGCGGCGTCAGCAAATGAATCATAACTTTCAAACATGGTAATAGCGACCGTTCCAATTACAGCATTGGCACGTGGGTCGCAGCCCGCCAGAAGGCGCTCCTGCCGCCATCGAGAGAGATGGGAAGTGACTTTGCGGCGAACTATGCTTTGGAAGTGGTGGACGTGAGTGCCGCCATACATTGCAAAGAGCGGCACACCAGATAGGACCCAGTCACGAGTTAAGAATAGTCATCGCAATCAGGGGCAGGAGCAGCTCCTGCTTGCAAGTGCGGCTGTTGTATTGCTAGAGGCCCAACGCGTGCGACACCTGAACAAAAAATCTGGAGACAACTGGCAAGAGGAGGCAGGAACAAGGAGCAGAGGATGATGCTGTATGCTGTTTGTGGGGGGGGGGGGGCGTCGCCTTTCAGATTCGTGGTCATCTCTGGAGTGCCTCTAGCTGCCCTCTGTGGGCACTGCGAAAGCCTGCTGCACGAATGTGGCAACAGTTTGGATGCCGAAGGCTGTCTGGGGCTCGATGGGACGACGATGAGGAGGCTGGAGGAGGGAGGAAACACTAAGGAAGGAAAGCCTGGAGGTGCAAAAAGAACAGATGGAGGTTGAAGGGGTGTAGGAAGCAACGGCAAAGACAAAAACGGCCCTGAAGGCGCTGGAGAAAGGAGGAAACGTTAAGAACCGAGGACCAGGAGGAACAACCATATACGATGTAGGCCGGAGGAATCGGAAGGAACTTCATGGACGAAAGCGACCGTGCTTACGACCCACGTCTGCCCACCTCTAAGGGCCCCCCAGAGAGGGTTAAGCGGAGGGCAGACTTGGTAAGGCTGCGGGCTACGCGCAGACAGCCCCTCAGGTAGCCCCAACCCCCGAGCCAGCCTGGAAGGGTCTCAACAGTCAGGCGCCGCCTCCAGCGGAGTCCCCGGGGGCGTTCCGCGCCCCAGGGTTGGGGAATCGAGACCGCCCTAAATTACGTCTGGCGCCGCCTCTGGCAGAGCCCCTGGGATGTTCCGCGCTCCAGGGCTGGGGAGTTGAGACCGCCCTACACTACTCGGGGGGGCCTGTCGCGGTCTGCTGGCATGTTGGGGCCAGTTGGAACTTTCTCGGGGTGCTCTCTATGTGCAACCTGGATACTTACCCAACTGACTCCGCCCCCCCCACCCCCCCCCCAGGAACCGAAGGAAACGAATCGGGAGGCGAGAAGGGGAGGGCAGACGGCGGACATCTTTTTCTGCCAGGGCACTGAGCCCCGCCCTTTTCCCGGGTGGGATGGGCACGGAGGCCCCCTTGAGCGCGGCGTCGATCACGACGCCAGAGCCGCGCCTGTGGGCGGCGAGCCGCGGCGTGAAGAGCCGCAGAAGGAGGCGAAGAATAACGCGCAGGAGGATAAGGGCGTAGGAAATGAAGGAAGGGCACACAGGACGCGGAGAAACAACAAAAATGATCAACGATAAGGAAGGAAGGGCGGACATGATAATGGGGACGAGGAGTAGGAAGGACGATCTCTCTCCCACATCGGCCCAAGCGGGCAATCCCCGGGCGGCGGCCGCTGCGCGCGCGCGCAAGCGGGCCAGAAAGTGGGCGGGCCTCTGGGCGCGCGCGGGCCGAGCGGCACCGCTCAAGTGGCGGAGTTCGCCTGGCCGCCAGTCGGCAAAGAAGCTGCTCAGACAGCCGCGCGCGAGAGGCGAGAAGAACTAGAGAAACACTCTCCCGCATCGGCGCAAAAACCAACGTCCAAGTGGCGGCCGCTGCGAGCGCGCGCGAGAGAGGGCCCGAAAGTGGGCGGGCTTCCGAACGCGCGTGGGCCGAGCGGCACCGCTCAGGCGGTGAAGTCCGCCTGGTCACCAAGATCGGCGAGGCAGCGTCGCTGGTCAGCCTTGGCAACAGAGACAGGGAGAGGTGGGGGACGAGAAGCCAGAGAAAAGCTGCAGAGACTGCTGCGCGCGAGAGGCGAGGCGAACGAGAGAGAACGTGCTCCCGCATCGGCGCAAGGGAGCACTCCCCGGGCGGTGGCCGCGGCGCGCGCGCGAGGGGGCCCGAAAGTGGGTAGGCCCCTGGGCGCGCTGGAGCCCGCCTGTTCGCCAAGGTCGGCGAGGCAGCCAGGCCCGGGATCAGAACCGACGCGCAGTGACAAGGTCTTGGCGGGCGGCCGCGAGCTGGGTGGACCACAGCGGGGCCGACACCCAAGAAGGCAGCGACAAGGCGGTCGTTGGCGGCAGCGAAGCTCACGATCTGCACACGGGCGGGCCCGGGAAGGGCGGACAGCACCGCGGCGGCTGCTTGCAAGCGGCGCTCCGCGCTGAAGCCTGACGCCACGTGGCCTACTCGGCCCCCAATCTTCCTTTTGGTTCTGCACAGGCTGATTCAAAACTCTCTGTTCCGGCTGTCTCCAGCTCCCTGTTCCACTGCATGCTCCTCTACTTCCCTGATCAAGGTTACTCGCCTGGGCATCGTTTTGGGATGGGCTGGGGGGGAAACGCGAAGCATCAAGAATTTCCCTCGGGGGTCAAATATACGCGTGGCCATCCCCTCACCCCCTGGCTTCAAAAACTGACAGCTTCTTGCTCGGCCATAGAGCCGGTGGGTTACCTCAAAAACGCTTCTTCGCGGCGCAACGCCTGAGAATGTCAAGGCCAGGGGTACGGGGGGGGCGCTCCAAACTTCTTTGAGGCTTTGGCGGTGTGAAGACAAAGCGGCGAAGTGGTGAAAGGGACATCAAGGCGTGGAGAGGCGCTGAACCACCGCCTCAGTCGCAGAAGTGGAGCTTTCTTACTGGCCAGCTCGACTGTCAAGAGGGGAGGCTAGGGGAGCAATGCAGGGCGTGCTTATGAAGAAAAAAGAACTGACCACCCCAACCCAACCCGCAGACCCAAAATTCGAATAGGGGTGTACGGGCTCCTTGTGTGTTTTTTTCGATGTTGCCCGACGCTCCCCCCCCACTGGGAATAGAGGGCAAATTGGGGCCGTCAGGTTGTGTTGGGGTGATTCGGTTGGTGGTGAAGAAAAGCAGGGAGCAGAGAGCGCGTGGGATTTGGTGCCGGCCGCGAGCGGGCAACGACAACGACGACAACGACGACGACGACGACTATCACATTGCTAACAGTCCCATCCGTGCCGTCTCTGGAGAAAGCCGAGAGATCGACTTGGGAGCAACGGGTCGGCGGCGAGCGAGGGGAGGAAATGAGGAGGAGA